TTTTTTGCCAATATCGACTTAAAGAATTGACTTCATAGTGACACATTGTACTTACTTTTTGTCTGAAATGAGTCTGCCTGCATGGGTGTGTTGTCCTAGCTTCCCCTGCCCTGAAGAACTTCGCTTCCTAAAGATCAATCAATGTCTTCAACACGGTTACTGTTTACTATCAGATGGTTTTTCATTAGTGAATTTAGATCTCTTTGAGAAAGCTTGTATATAAAAAGTTAACAGATATATTTTATGGAAAAACCCATCTTATTTTCAAATATATTTAACTGCTGTTATATTTTATTAGAGGAAGGCTGTAAATATTTTCTAGGAGTTCTATTGTAAAGAAAAGTATTTTTGAAAAAAATTAATGTAATAAAAATGAAAACATTTTTAAATAGTGGTTGTGATTGCTTCCTGTTCTGGCTTTGTTATGTTCTGTTCTCTGCAGGTGACTTGCATGCCTTCCCATTTCAGGATGCAGTTTATCCAGGTTTGCACTATGAGTTGACATCATAATATCTAGTGTGCTTCACTGTATTTCCCCGGAATGCAGGTCCCTTGGTCCGTATCAAGAGCACTATGTATAGCATATTCATAATTTTTCTTTTGTAATGTGTGTATTTTTAATAAGGATTTTATGTAACATTTTGGCAAAGAGAGGACAGTATTTTCTAGTGAATTTTATAATACATTTTGCTAAAAATGTTTCTTCCTAGGTCAGTTTTTGTTAAGGTGAACCAAAAGTCTTATTTTACCAGGGGTTTAAAAAAAGTTTGAAGCTTGAAAGCAAAGTTATATTTAAACATCATATGTAACAAATAAATAAAAATGTTTTATAGACTTGTCAAAAAAGGGTGCATTCCTTCAAAACAAAAACATTTGGGGCATTCTAGGTTGTTTTCCCCTCCTGAGTGATGAGCATTTTTTAAAATACTCACAATATATTTTCAGAAGGAGAGCCAGGAGAACTTAAAAGGTTCCCATCGTTTGTCTCAGAAATTCATGACAGTTCCGGTAGAGAGAGATTATTCAAACGGAGATGTAACCAGACAGACACTGTCCTTTTATTTGTGAAAGCCTGACTCAATATTGCATCAGCTGCTCTGAAAATAAAATGTTATCTTTTGGAGTTTCATTTTGGTTTAAACATTCCTTATTTCTAACCACTGAAATGACTTTTCAATGCTGGAAAAATGCTAATTTGCCTGTTGGTTGGTTTCCCTAGAGCGGTTTAGAGGTCTGCTGGTCAGAATTAATGCTCATTAAAGGGCCCCCTCCCCACTCTGCAGGCCAGGACATAAATCTCAGCTGTGCAGGCAGTGGGTGAGCCACTTGAAGGGCTGGTGGTCTCTAGCCATAGCAGCCTAACGACGGTTTAGGGGGCTGGTGTTCACACAGCTGTCTCACAGTGAACCCTCCCCAAAGTCCAGTGCACCCTAGTTTGCATGCAGTGCTAATCTGGATTTCCAAATTCTAAAGAACGTGTTCACTTTTTAACAGTCAACAATCAACTTCAAGAGTCTCTGATTCTGAATTGTATACAGAATTTGCTTTAACTGGGGCACACCTGTTAAGACCTCTATCTCCTAGGCTTTTTAACTATTGTTTTACTTTAATTTCAGGTATCATTTTAAGATAGTCCCCCATCAAATAAAGCAGCCATTCCTCTAAAAGCACTGAGCATTAGCCAGTGATGTAAATTTAAATTCTGCTTCTAGCTCGGGTGTCCAATCTGAAGAACTTCTACTGTTAGAGCCTTTCGTTCAATACTCCAGAGCCCCATGTACCAGGCACTGTTCCACACTGTATTTATTATACACGGGGGAGTGGAGCGGACAAAAATGGCTGACATCATTCCTTCCTGCCATGGAATTTAATACTTGGAGCATACGGGGGCCCTGGGAACTGATCCAATTCCACCATTGGGAAAAGCAAAGGTCATGCTTTATTAGTATTGTGAACTGCTTCACCATTACCCACACATACACAGCGATTTAAAATAGATGCTCAGCAGCTATTTACCAAATTAATTATCTCTAATCTTTCAGGTACGCTTGCGTGTGTGCGTGTGTGTGTGTGTGTGTGACAAAACCTCCCCTGGAGTTACCTCAAGCCCATTTCAAATCCCACAGACTCCTCGGCCCCAGCCGGTCAGCTGAAGTTAGCGCTAGGAATGAGGATGGGTTTTAATGTTGACACAGCAAAACATAATTAGGAAAGCATGTAAGAAATTTAATAATATATTCCTAAGTGAACCGTAGTGATCTTTGGATCCCTGTATAAAAGAGCCACAGGGCTGATCATGTCCTCTGTGTAAGAGATACAATCTTTTGGAAAGGGCTGTCCTCCCCCACCCAACCCCAAGGGACGTGTTCATATCTGTTTGAGTTAAAAAGGCCCAAGCACCCTACACGCTTGTTTGGCATTCCAGCATGCGTATTGTTACCTGCAATACCGATCTGTCCTGTGTTTTGGGTCAGTACTTCCTCTGCTCCTGCAGTTTTATTTTTGGCAGTATTGACATGTTTAACCACTTTATTGACACATGATTGACATAAAAAGCTATACATATTTATTGTGTACCACTTGAGTTTGTGGAGAAGTATATAAATGTGAAACCATGGCAACCAAGAGAAAAGGGCTGTCTGTTAAAATAGAACCACTGGTACAATCAAAATATATAACTTAGAAATCGGTAATGTACATACTTTTATTTTTCCTGCATATAAAGCCAAGTGGACTTGCAGCAACTCCCCAGAATTATTTGACCTCCTCTTTACCTGTGCTAGGTCAAAGGTTTGAAAGCCAAGGTGGTAGGGAAGGGGCCAAGCTTTAGAACTTTCCTTGCTCTCCCACCATACCAAAGACCCCCCTCCACAGCTCCACCAGTGGCAAACCTGCATCTGTCTCTCACCATGGCTCCCACCTTGCCCCCAGCTTATTGGACCAGGGTTGGCACCTGACTCCGAGCTATTTGGCCCATCAGCCATTAGGTGACATGTGGCTTGGCTCAGCCCAGAAAAATGAAGGGATCAAATCAAATTCCCAAATTTGACAGTATGAATGGAGAAACTTGGTGAGCTGAAGGCAACACATGGTGGCCACGTGCAAGGCCAGTTCTGAGGGAGCAGAAACTATTAGAAATTGGAGAGAGCCCATCAATAAAGAGACTGTGTTTGGCCTCAGAAATGGAGAGGGCATCCAGTCCCAAGGGGTGCTTTGAGTCCCCTTATCCAGTTGCAAGAGCAGTCCAAGCCACACGTGTCTTTTTAAAATAAGAAAATAAACACCTTTTTTTGCAGGAGAATGCAGAGGTGGGAGTCTCTAATCCTCACATCCAAAAGAGACTTAAATAGAACTGGGGCTGGTCATAGGGTCAGCAGCAGCCCACTGCAGGGGTGGAAAGCATGGAACTAGGATCTTGAAAATGGATACTAGTGCAGCTGTAGCTAACTGACCATATGACTGTGTCAGTCAGTTCATCTCTGAGCTTCAGTTTCATCACTTACAAAGTTAGGGTAAAATGTATGTCTCCAGAGAGGGAGCCTGGAAAGGGCGCTGGGTGGCCCATCAGGGTGCGGCACTGCTGGGAACGACAGAGGTGCACACAGGTGGGGCAGTTTCCACACTCTGGTGTGGGACCACGCTGGCCTCTCTGCCAGCTTTCCACATGGACTGAGTTCTAAGACACAAAGGCCAGTCTAAGGGGCAGGAAAACTGGTTTTTTATTCTAGGTCTTTCATCAATTTGTGTGACATTAGGCAACATTCTACCCCTTCCTTGGTTCTGTAGCCTGAAAATCAGGGTAAGCAATATCTACTTGTCAAAAGGAAAAAAAAAAAAACAACAAACAAGTTTACATTTGCACAATACTTTAGTTACATGCCACAAAAGATTCCCATCCACTTGATTTTTTAAAATTTTCTCAACAATCTTGAGATGCAGGTAAGGTAGAAGCAACTTTATGGTATAAATACTGGATGACATTTATTTGCATTATCATGCGCCAGGCTTCGTACTAAACACATACATCAGTATCTCATTTAATCCTCTTAACAACTATTTGAAGTAGGAACTGTTATCATCTCTAATTGATAAATGAGAAAATTGAAGCTCAGAGTGGGAAAGTAACTTGCCCAAAGTCACTCAACTAAATGGTAAACCTAGGTTTACAATCCAGATCTCCCGACTACAAGTCCAGGGTTTTCCATTATAATAAATTACCTATGTAGAAGCACTTGAGGGAAATAAAATTTAGAGCATTACACAAATGGAAGAAAATTCTGTAACAGCAAAATTTTAGTTAGAGCTGAATTATGATGAACATTAATAAAAGGGCATTTTTTGGTTGCAACATTTTTTGGCTTGTGGTACTAGGTGAAGGCAGCCACTGTAATTCTGAAATACATAAGAGTAACATAAGGAAATGAAGACTTAGGAAGATCCTGGGACAGTGGTGTACAGGACAGCTGGAGCACAAAAATGCCAGTTGGTGTGGTGAAGGAAGGTAGGGTTAAGGAACAGAACTACAAGGTTATTGCAGCGAGGAAAAGGATGGAATCGGGGCTTGATGGAGTGGTAAACTTTCCTTCAGTCTAATGAAATACGGATTTTGTAACATTTTGAAAAATACATAAATAGAAAAACAAATGAACCATTATTCACAACCCAGAGATAACTGTTGTCAATATATTTTTTTCCAAGCACGTGTGTGTGTTTGTCTCGGAGAAAATAGGAACCACGTACGACCAACACGATCTGTTAAGGAAAACATTTGCTGGGCTTGGTCACTATCTAGATACGGGCTGTGGGAACTTGATCAAGACACTGTACACGGCGGGTACACGACCCACGGGAAGCCAACTGGAGGTTCAGTCCCAGCCTTAAGAAAGCACCGAATTACATCTCTATGGTTGTTCCTTGCCGGAACACAAGAATATACTCTCTCCTTTAGCGGAACTCTATGGTCTGAGGACGCCCTGTGACCCCGGAAGCGATCCTGAGAGGCTGGGCGGCAAGATGGCGGCGCGAGTAGTGCTCGGGGCCGTTTGCCGGCGTCTCTGGCAGGCAGGTACCGGGCAGGCTGGGGGAACTGGGCGAGCCAACAGGGGCAGCTGCTACTCAGTCTTGCTGCCAGCCGTCGTTCTGACCGTAAGGAGCCTTCCCCGATTTTAGTCCGCACCTCTGCTCGCTCGCAGGAAGGTGGCAAGAAAGGGGCAGGTTTTATCTCCCTTTCTTTCACGGTGTAAAATGTAAGTCAGGGCAAAGACAGGAACAAAAAGAATGACAGAGCTGGAAAGAATATTGAACATCATATATTCCCACCCCTCTCCCAAAGCACCTCCCCGTGACTAGCATCACGTTTGCAAAATAAACCCAGGCTCAGAAGACGGGAAACTTTGCTTTGAGCAAATGAGGGGCCGAGCTGGCCCAAGATCTCATATTCTTCCCACGGAACTAAATCGAGACATTCTCCTCCTGCTTAGGGTTTCTGAGATTTAGGTGAGTCAATGAAGTCAGGAATGGGGTGAAATGCCCTTTGCGCGGGTCTTGAGAGAAGCAAAAACTGCAGAGCGGTTCTCGAGTATTTTGGCCTCAGCACCCGTTTACACTCCAAAAATAGTCGAGGACGCCAAAAAACTTTTGTTTTTGTGGACTTTAGTTATTGATACTTAGCTCATTAGAAAATAAACCTGAGAATAATAAAAATGCTTACTCCTTTCAAAATAACATTAATAAACTCATTACATGTTAACATAGTAACATTTTTATGGAAAATAAGTTTTTAAAGCAAATTTAATAAGACTGGCAGTGTTTTATGTTTTTGTGAATCTCTTTAATGTCTGGCTTAAAAGAAGACAGCTGGATTTTCATATCTGCTTCTGTGTTCATATGACACATCATGCAACCTCTGGAAAACCTCACTGTACACTTGTAAGACAATGAGTGAAAAAGTTGGAAATAAAGCCTTAGTATTATTATGAAAGTAGTTTTAATCTTTCAGCCCCCGGAAACTGTTTCAGGGGTTCCCCAGAGGGCTTCAGAGCACAATTTGAGAATCACTGTGCTTAAGAAAAGTCAGGTGGTGGTAGAGGCTGAAATTTTAGACTAAGACAACTAAGCTCAGATACCCTTTAACCCCCTCAAAAGGAAAACGTTTAAGAACTTCTTGCCCTGGCCCTGTAGCTCAGTTGGTTAGAGCATCATCCTGACACGCCAAGATTGCTGGTTAGGTCCCTGGTCAGGGGTCAGGGCAAATACAAAAATCAACCAATGAATGCATAAATAAGTGGAACAACAAATTGATGTTTCTCTCTCCCCACCCCTTTCCTCTTTCTCAAATCAGTAATTTTTAAAAAAGGTTTATTAAAGAACTTAATACTGTTGATTTGGGGCTGTAACAGCACTTAGTCTCCAACTTCTTCAAGCAGAGGTTTACACCGGGAGACTATGGTTGGCTAGCGTCATAGGCCTTAGACCTACGGTTCTTCAACAACCGAATGGTTGGGGTCCCTGGCAGAAATGTGAGGAGGGAGGTTTCTGTGTGATTATGCCTGAAAAATGGCACTGACCTCTTCCACCCTTGTATTGTAACTGATTTTCTCCTCTTTTTGTTTTTCCCCTGGTCCAAGAGAGAATATGAAAGTTTTAATTTGCTGCCATCTTGGATAGAGAGGGGAAGAAGGACAATAAGTTAACAATAGGCTTTTTTTTAACATATTTAGGTGACCCTCAGTTTTAATTAAGCTTTGCTTGTACTAAAAGTTATTCTCATTTTCAAAGTATTTTTAAGGATCCTATCATGCTCGGGTACACATTTATGAAGTCTGTCCAGGAAAAGTCCTGCTGTTGTTCATATAACTGGTTTATATATCAGTGTTTGTGCAATATCAGTGTATCCTGGCATCCAGGAGAGTGGACTGGAATGTGCGTGTGCAAACATGACAACTTTACTAATCAGTGGGAGTGGTAGATACTGTTTAGTGAGCATGTGTACTGTGTGGCAGTCACATTCAAAATGACTAAGCAAGTAGAGCAACAAATCTGCATCAAATTTTGTGTTAAACTTGAATATTCCTCTGTGGAAACTATTCAGATGATTCAGAAGGCCACAGCCATGAGCAGGTGGTGATTGTCAGCTTCATCACAACAGTGTACTCGTCCATGCATCACATCTCCTACAGAGCTTTTTGGTGAAATACCAAATCACCCAGGTGGTTCAGCCCTCCTAAAGCCCAGGTTTGGTGCCTTGCAACTTCTGGCTTTTCCCAAAGCTAAAGTCACCTTTGAAAAGGAAGAGATTTCAGACCATCCATGAGATTCAGGAAAATACAATGGGGCAGCTGATGGCAATTAGGAGAAATGTGTGAGATCCTAAGTTGCCTACTTTGTAGGGGACTGAGGCATCATTGTCCTGTATACAATGTTTCTTTTTTCTTTTTATTTTCAAGATTTTATGAGAGGGAGAGAAATGTACCAGAGAAACAGCAATCAGTTGCCTCATGCCCCCAACTGGGGACCTGGACCACCACCCAGGCATGTGCCCTGACTGGGAATCAAACTGGCAACCTTTAGGTCTGCAGACCAGGACTCAATCTACTGAGCCACACTAGCCAGGGCTACAGTGTTTCTTGTATCTTGTAATGTCTCTATTTTTCCTATAATATGGCTGGATACCTTCTGGACAGACGTATCTCAGGAAAGCTTAAAGGGAAAACAGGTGGCAAATTACATCTACATTATACTGTAAGTTTCCTACAACCATAAATTCTGATCCACTAGGGGGAGCCAACAATAAAGGATTTGGAAAGGCTGGCTTGTTGCATTGAGGCACAGTAGTGGTGTAAAATGGGTGTAAGCTTCAGTGTGTATTTCAATTTATTTGTAAGCTAGTTATCCCAGCCAAGCCAAATAATATATGCTGGAAAAGATGTATGAAAGCTTCAAAATAAGGGTACTTTTAGAATTCTTATTTCAGCCCTGGCTGGTGTAGCTCAGTGAATTGGTGTCAGCCTGCGAACCAGAGGGTCGCTGGTTTGATTCCCAGTTAGGGCACATGCCTGGGTTGTGGGCCAGGTCCCAAGTAGGAAGTATGCAAGAGGCAACCACACATAGATGTTTCTTCTCTCCCTCTCTTTCTCCCTCCCTTCCCCTCTCTCTAAAACTAAATAAATAAGTAAAATCTTTTCTAAAAAAGGAATTCTTATTTCAACTCTTAATAAATTATAAAGACTTAATTGCTCAAAAATATTGAGGCAAATTACTATTATATTCAAGTACATTAATCTAAAAATAATGGATAAATTAAACCACATTTTTTTCTTTGTTGTCGTCTAATGTGTAGCTGTTATTTCAATGTGAGAATTGCTTGTTTTAAAAAAGCTCTTCTAAGCTTTAAAATATATAGATTCTCTAGTATTTTGAGAGTCCTTTTTGATTATCAATTCTTCCATTGTTTTCTTTTTCTAAAAAATAAAATCTAATTTGAAATAATTTCTAGTTTGAAATTATTTCTAGAATAATTATTTCTAGTTTGAAATAATGAGATAGCCCTGCATTTTTTAAGATATGTTTATTAATTTTAGAGAGAGACAAAGAGTAGTATCAGTGTGAGAGAGAAACATTGACCGGTTGCCTCCCCAGGTCCTCCAACTGCGATCGCATCCGCAGCAACTTTGGTGCACTGGGGGAGCCACGATGGCTGAGGGTGAGATAGCCCTTTATTTGAAGCATCGTACATCTTTTGATTTTTTTTTAACAGAAACTATGAATGGTTTGGGGCTTGACTTTAATTCTAACATGTTCCTTTTTTTTCTTCTAAGGCTTCAAGGGATTTTTCTGTAAACAGTTCTAAGAGCAGTACATCCAAAAATGGTGGCTTTCTTCTGTAAGTATGTAATTTGATGTGCTAAATTGAACAAGGAAATGGGCTCTTGTGCTGTTTTACTTAGGTTTCTCCTTTCCCCCCTACACAGCAGTACCAGTATGAAGTGGGTACAGTTTTCAAACCTACACGTTGATGTTCCCAAGGATTTGACCAAGCCTGCGGTATGTACTCCTATTTCTTGGCATAAGGAGCTCCCTTAGTAATAAAATTTCTTTGCTATTTCATTCGGGGTTGTTTCCCAAATACTTTATAACGAAAACAAATTTGTTCTGCAATACTGGCAAGTGCACAGTGTTCCCGAGTAGAGTATCTGTGGTCCCTAGTGCTGATGTTCTCTTTCAGGGGATCTAGGTAAGTTCTAAAGGAATAAATGATTTGCTCCAAATAACTGTGGGAGTGAGTGGTCTTTGGCTTTTAACTCAGCATAATGTGAAGAGTTGTCATAATTAGTGATGCAGAATACTTGATATGTTTCTAGAAACAAACTTTTCTTGTAACTGTCAGGTCTTTGTTCTCATTTTAAGACATTGCGCCTGGGCCTGGACAGTGCTGTGTTGTGCGCAGCGAGAAAGAATATCAGCACAAGTGAAATCCGGAAGCAGCACATAGCCTTGTTTCATTTAAGTAACAGCTGGGATTTCTTCAACCCAGTTTTTGTGTTACTTGTAATTTTTTTTTGAAATCCTTATAGACTTTCATTTTTTTCAGCTCTACTCCTCAAAAATAACCCTTTTTAACAGCTCAGGATGAGTCATTTTGGATATCTTTGTGCACATAATCATTATATCTGTGCACGCGCACACCAAAATGGAATTGTGTCACACATAACGTGCTGCTGTTTCGTTTTTTTTCACTTAGTGGATACTGGATATATTTCCATGACGACACTTAGACACCCCGGGTCTTCAGCATAGATGTCTGCATGGGCCAGGCCTGTACGGAGAGGTGACAGGGTGGTCACGACGACAGGCTGTGCCTGTGATAAGTGAGATAGTTGCTATTTACTTTAATCATTGTTGAAGTGTGGGAAATCAGACTTAGGCATGATTTTCCTAATCTGACCTGTCAACTGCTATAACATGATCACTAGGAAAGGTTGTCTAAATTTTCCAATCTAAATTGAAATCCAAATTTTTATGTGAAATCTCCTGATACTTAATCTTTTTAACAGATTCAGAATTTCTTTAAAACCCTTTAGGAACCAATCAGAATATATCTTCAGGATGTATTCTCCCTTCCCTCACCCTCCAACTTTTGCAATAAGGTATCAGTGTATTCTGTTCCCCCAACAGCCCTGTTTGGAGTAATTGAGAGCTTCCTGGTTGGGTAACTGATCTCCTTTCAGGTGCAATGTAATTAGCCCTGAATCATTGGATTAGTATGTGTAAATTACTGGTTTAATGGATGAATGAACTGAAGGTAATTCATCTCTTAGAAGAAAGTCAGAAATGTCAGACCCATTATTTCTAAGATTTTAAGTGTTGTGTTAGGATAAAAGAGGTGGAAGTTATGTGTATAGTCAGTGTCACAACATTTTAATTAGAAGTGAGAAGTGAGTAATTTTCCTGTTATGACAGGCAGAACATGAATAAAACCTAATAAATAAAATGAATTGTAATTGCTCACCTTTATATAACAATGTTTAATCATTTATAAACACTTTAATCTGTGTTTTCTTATTCATTCCCTAAAGAAACGCTGTGCGCTGTAGCACCAGTATTCTGCCTTTTATGTACATGAGGAAACCACAGTGGGGTGGGATTGTGTGACTTGCCCATTGCGACTTGGCGAGAAGTAGCAGAGTAAGTTAGAAGGCCCCATCAGTGATTTCGTAGGTTTTCTTGAAAGTTGCTTTGATTCACGCTGCATTTTAGTAACACATTGTAAGGGTTACTGCGCAGGTCCGAATGTGATAGCGTCTAGAGACTTAGACTGATGGTGTTAAAATGTTACTTAGTATTTTTCTCCTCCTTTATTACTAAACTCTGAAGTAGCTCATTTGAGGTTAATATGTTAAATATTTTAGTTGTAAATATTAGAGGAACCATGAATGAAACTTTTTTATTTCAAAATTGTAGATAACCATTTCTGATGAACCAGACACATTATATAAGCGCCTGTCAGTTTTAGTAAAAGGCCATGATAAGGCTGTGTTGGACAGCTATGAATATTTTGCTGTGCTTGCTGCTAAAGAACTTGGGATCTCCATCGAAGTGTAAGTATGATCTTTCCTAATCTGACCTGTCAAATGCTATAACATAAATCACTACGAAAATGGGCTGGTTCCAGCTAGGTCTGAGCTCTTAAAATGGGCTGGAGCTCATGATTGGTAGGGGTAGCTTTGCCGTTTTATCCTAAGCAGGATCATCCCTTCCTGTCTCCTGGAATGTTTAAATACGAATGAGTGAACCAGGAAAATCAAGGAAATCCTTTCTCTGCCAATTTCATAGACATATGGAGACCCAAGAATCCCTAGATTATTTGATTCGATGATCTTTGGCTGATATGTTCATTGTTTCAAAACTGCCCTGAGAAACACCACTCACCCAGTAACTCAAAGCCTGAGCAAGGTGAGCATCACATGGCCCTGAAGTCACTGCAGGGGCAAGTATAACCACCTCAGTTGTTATCAGAAGGGCCCACATTTTCCATAACAGACTGTAGTTTTGTAGTTACTGCTGTGTCCTTAGATTTCTGTGAAGTAACACACAGTGGACAGTCACAGCTGTGTCCCATACACCGGTGGTTTTGTCGCAGTTCATATATTGGTCAGGAAGGGGCTTCAGGGATGTGGCATCTGGAGGCTTGTGTGTGCATGTGCCGCATACCAAGGCTCAACTTGGGGTCTGTGAGAAGATGATCGTGTTGCTGTCTGGGGTGTTTATTTTGGCCTGAGTTTTATGACAGTGTCTGTCACAGCATCGATGACAGTCCTGACAAATAAAGCCTGTAAGTGGTAGTTCATGCCTGTAATTGAGCATGAGCCTGCCTGCATAGTTGTGGAATCATGCTTTGACATCGGTGACTGAGGTTTTAACATCACTTAGCCTATGTTGTTTTGCCCATTAATTTTCAGACATGAACCTCCAAGGAAAATAGAGCGATTTACTCTTCTTAAATCAGTGCATATTTTCAAGAAGCACAGAGTTCAGTATGAAATGAGAACACTGTACAGATGTTTCGAGGTGAGTTTGTTTCAGACGTTGAGGCGTTTTTGAAACACCCCAATTTCACACCAGCATAGCCTTCCGTTGACAGTGCCTGGGTTGGCTTTCTTTCAGTCAGCCCATGTCTAACAGTTGTAGAGAAGGTGAATTTCCTTTTGTGTTTATGGAAATAGCAGACAGGAAAATCAAACTCAAATAAAGCCATCTTTTAGAATAGTTCATACTTTAACTCAATAATGCAGATTATGCTAATTTTTATACAATAAGATAGCATTGGAATAATTTTGTGTGCTTTTCAACAATTCTAATTAAGTTTTCACACAGTTCTAATAATCCTTTTCATGTGCTGTCTGGATTTCTCGTGTCTGTTATGGGCAGCATTAAGATTTTTCATTCATCTTACTCATTTGTGCATCCACTAGGGGCAGCATAGCACTCGGGTCCTGGAGTCAGGCAGCCAGGTCCTAGTCTCGGCACCTACTAGCTACTAAGGCCTGTGCCTCAATTCCTTCACCTACAGAATGTGCAGAATAAGGATACCTGTCTCCTAGGTCAATGTGAGGGTTAAATGAGATATTTCTCTAAAGCACTGAGAATACTTCCTCACATAGTAAATAATTGGTAAGTTTTATTAAAACAAGTGCTTGTGCATCTTTTACATTGGAAGCACTGTACTAGACATTGTGGATACAGATATGATTAAAACATAGTCCCAAATTTAAATGGAAAAAAAACCCCAAAATATTATGCACCCATGTCCAACAGAAACACCTCCCCACGAAGCACGAAAATGTCACACTAACTCTGTCTTACAGTCTAGTCGTTTCCTTTTGTCTTAAGCTGTTCAGGAAACTCGGGTAAGTGTGCTGCTTGGATACCATGCTTGCCTCTGGGTTCCACGGAGCTCCGGCTTCCAGGCACTTGGGAGGGAGGGTGCTTCCGGGCCATGCTCCCCGCATTCAGTTCAACTAGACCACCTACCTTTTTTTTACTGGAATTCTGTGTAAGATTTTATAGAGAAAGAAAAGAAAAGGTTCTACTGCTTCTACCAATAAAATTTAAAAGTTTCTGCTCTAACAGCACAGCATGAACCAGTTTCATGTTTGACATTTTAGTTAAAACATCTAACTGGAAGTACAGCAGATGTCTACTTGGAATACATTCAGCGAAACTTACCTGAAGGCGTTGCCATGGAAGTTACAAAGGTATGATTTCAGTTTCTTCCTCTGCTGGAGAGTAGATCCCTGTTGGGTCACAACCTTCTCAGGAGCTTCGCAGGTAGAATCTGAAACCAGCCCTGGATGCGGAGGGCAAGGAGAGACAGAAGACAGAGGCAGACCACTCCAAGTGGTAGATGGCAGGTTTAATAAGCAAGGGAATTTAACAGGTATTTCTTGGGCAGCCACAAGATGATTAGATTTCCACATCAATCTGCCAAATCTTAAAAGTTTCTGTAAAGGCCCAAACTGGGGTCATTTGCATACGTAGAAGGCCTTGATTGGAGTCGGTCACGCACCCAGTCAGTCCAGGTGGTGTCGGTACCGCATTTCTATCTCAAGCCTGTGCCCTTGGAGCAGGTTTTAAGAGCAGGGAAAGCATACAGAACACACATTCCAAATGCGGAGGAGACAGGCAGCCTTCAGTTGCCTGGGTTCAGATCACAGATGAAGCTGGCTGTCATGTCTTTTTGATGACCGGGCTCACTGAGTGGAGGGCAGGGCCTGTGGCAGACCTAGAGCCAGGGTTACCGCAGTGGTTGGGGTCTCCATCTTCCCGTGCAGTGTTGGCAGCTCAGCCGAGTCCTGACTGTGCAGCCACATCCCCCCCGAGCTGCCTCTGAAGTCCCCCTCCCTCTCAGGAGTTGTCTAGACTCGGGGGCTATGTTGGATGGCATTCCCAGCCATCACTGAGGATCAGATGGATTATGTATGTCAGTGTTTCATATACCATCAAGTTTTCTTCTGTTTCAAAGCCCTACAAGAAGATAAGAGGGGTAAAAGGAAAAAATAAAAGGATTGAAGGGAACAAAATTAATCTATTTCTTGGCCAAAGAGTCAATTAAGTTCACATATTACAGTTTTATTTTTCTCTTCTTAGACAAAATTAGAACGGTTACCAGAGCACATCAAGGAGCCAATCTGGGAGAGGATACCAGAGGGAAGAGAAGAAAGCAAGTCATGAAGTCTGATAGAGACTAGTGGTGCAGAGTCTTGAAATGAGGGTGGGCCAGCCACATCGGCTGGAATAAGAGAGCTTCCGGTGAGACGATTTTGAGTCCATGTAACTGCTCTGTTGAGCCCACGTATCCTATCAGTTGGCAGCAGGGAGTGGAACGTTAAGGATACAATGGACTATAGTAAAAGAACCTCTTTATATATTCTTTTATATGTGTCATCATTTCAGTTCTGGTTTTAACAAATGGGAGGAAACCATTCTGACTATGCACCAAGAGTCTATTTATATTTTATTTTTCTGCTGTTCAAGTATTAGTTTGTACTGATTTTTTTTTTTTAAGAGGGAGAGAAACATCAATGTGTGGTTGCCTCCCGAGTGCCGCGTACTGGGCACCTGGCCCGCAATCCAGGCATGTGCCCTGGCTGGGAATCTTACCAGGGACCCTTAGGTTCACAGGTCGTCGTCACTCAATCCACTGAGCCACATGAGCCAGGGCTATAGTGTTCTTAATTTATATCATATTCCTCTGAAAGTGAATGTTTGAAATATTACACATTTTTTTTCTTTTGAGGTTTCTAGAAGGAACCTTTGGTTAATTTAACACTGAGCAATTACAGTTTTTGACACTCACCTTAGTGCAGGCCGGCATATGCTCATTTTGGGGGTGATGACCTCCAAATTGTACTTCGTTTCAGCATTACATTCTTGAAAAAAATACATACTCTGCAGCAGACCAAGCACATTTGTAGCATGCACTGAACTATTATTGCCCTGGAGCCCTGGCAGGGCTGCCGGAGAGGGTCACTGTGATGGGATTCCTGCTCTCAAGAAATTACTGCCCTTGTGTCTCACTCATCCTGGGAGCCATTCATTCAGCAGGCTTTCATTTTGTTAACTCTGTGCCCAGCGCTGTAGTAAATACCAAGAACTGAATAGAAATAACAGCTTTTGAAAATTGTGCAAGGCACAGAAAATATTTTCCTTATTAAGTTCCTTGCTGATAAGAAGGCCTCTTTCTTTTGGTCAATGGTACTCTTTTTGTTTGGAGATGTCTACTTTTCCATGAAATTAAATAGTAGTTAAAGCCCTGAAAGAGGCAGGACTACAATAGGCTGAAACTGTTGATGGATCAGCCCCCAGGGAGTGATTGGTTTCCTTTTTCAGCAGAACCAGGGCCTCGTCTTTTGTGGTTTTCTTCGAGTCTTTGGAGTAGTTATGACTTCTCAGTTTTTCCCCCCTTGTACTGGAATTCCTATTCTCTTTTTCCAATCTGCTATCAGGTGTCGGTGTTCTGAATGCATACTGCTTATGTATCAGACTTATATTACTGTCATTAACATGAAAAGAATTACAGCCTTGTGCCCCACGACCACACTCTCTTCACAGGTCAGTTTTTGACTGTGTCATTCACAAATGCCTGAAGCCTGCTTATCTCAGGTATAAGCTTCAGGATTAAGAACTAGTCAATAAAACAAGAGCAATATAATGGTAATTATACCTAGCAAAGTAGCAATTTGTGACCCATTTTTACTTTAAAAGAAATGATTCTTTCAAAATAAACATAGCATTTTGTGGGTGTGTTAGACATATGAGTCACTGTAGTGGAATGGGGTGCTTGTGCACACTCAGCCCTGGTGACCCCTGGGAGCTCCTCTAAAGGTGCGCGTCTGCTTCCAGCTGTGTTCGTGCTAAATTAACCCGTGAACCAGATTGCTTGGTTTAACACTTCAAATTATGTATTAAAATGTTTTAAGATAAACTCGAAAACAGACTACACATGTGACAAAAACTAGTGCTACTTCTTTGACAAAAGTATTTGGTATATTTGAAGCTTACTTTTTTTTTTTATCTTTACCTGAGGACATGCTTCTTGATTTTAGAGAGAGGGGAAGGGAGGAAGAAACAGGGGGAGAGAAACATTGATGCCAGCGAGAAACATTGGTCGCTTTTTATATGTATCTCAACCAGGGACCTAACCCACAACCCAGACATGTACCCTGACTGAGAATCAGGCCCACGACCCTTTGTCACAGGACAGCGCTCCAACCAACTGAGGCACGCCAGCCAGGGCGAAGCCTCCTTCTTGATGTAAACAAGATAATTTCTTTATCATGATAGGCTGAGAAAGTGTTTTTTTTTTAATTGGGTCTCCCAAGTAAATGCACATTCTAAAAGTTAGAATTAATGCCCAAGTCGCACTTACTGTCCGTGGTGGGGATGGGAGGTGGAGAGGGAAAAGGGGACCTGATGGGAGAATGATCCAGAAGGCAGGGAGGAAGTGAGATGATTTTCTTACCTAGTGTAGCCCTGAGTTCATTGTTGCTTTCTCTGATCTGAAGTGTATTTTCCTTTCATAGCAAATAAAATAATACAGTCTGTTTAAAATGTGGATAGGACTCTGGATTATACTTCTTCAGTGCCTAGTTTCAGTGCTTTCAAAGAGGACTTCTTGTCTGTTCCTGTGGCCACGTCATACATGCCACAGTGAATACATAAAGCAATTGTTTTAAACAAGTAGTTTAATTTTGTAACATTGCTGTTTGTCAGCTACTGTTCCTCCTTCCCTGCACTGTATTATTGAAGTAGTTTTACTGCAGCATTAGTAAGTAGCAAATGGACAGAGAAACATGGACTTTGAAGTCAGGACTGAGTCAGATAAGGGTTCAAACCTGTCAACTGCAATAAACTTGGGCGAGATACTCAACCCTGTCAGACCCTCAATTTTACTTATTAGTAAAATATAGGAAAATGATGGCTACTCATTGGGGTAGGGGTATCAAATCAGATAACCTGAAGCACCTCATAGTACCAAGCAGATAAGTAGACATTCAACAAATAAGAGTTACCACTAGATGGAGCACAAATTTTCTGGTACTCCAGATGCTTCTGTGGGGCACCGTTTAAAAACCAGCTGGAGAGGACTGCAGAGCATCTGCAAGGTAAGGACACTACTAACCTTAGCGTGGCTGTGAAGTTCAGTTTCAACGAGGGAATACATAATGTGCATTCAATAAAGTAGTTGCTATTATTACCCCCATTTCCCAGGACAGAAAACCAAGTTACAACTTCCCCACTCATCATGTTTCCATTTACAGATGACGCTGATTTGTGTGAGTTCAGATTAGTGACAGGGACAGCCCCAGAACCTAAATTTTAAAGTACTCTGTATATTCAGACCTAACAATACAGATTTATTTCCCCTTTTATATTGACAAAATGCACTTATTTCCCCTAAAGCTTAGAAATAAAATGATCGACTTGGGGGGGACGGGTGGAATCTAAGGGCTAAAAGATGCAAAGATGGTCTGAAGAAGCATGAGAGATACAACAGCGGGATCCCTGTGGTCTTGAGGTCCCAGGGTGAGTGGGCAACACGAGTTTAGGCTGCACCAAGGAGGGTCCTGCTGGGTCCGAGAGCACGGGCATGGGGGTTATTTACAGCAGGGCTTCGGCTCAGCAGATGCAGATCTGCAGCCAGGCTTACAACTGATTGCCTGAGATCCCCAGGGTTCTCTGCAAATCCCCGCTCACTTCCTAACCCTACCCTCCTTAAATCCTTACTATTGTTACTCACTTCAAGCTATCATTTCTCTCTGTGGAGTCCTAATCCTCTTTAAAATGATATATTTATACTTCAACAGCTCAGCAGTGTTTATGGGTCAGGTCATGGGCAACTGACCCACATCAAAAGCCAATTGAATTTTAGACTCCTTAGCCAAAGGCTAAATCAAGTTACATTTCATTCATCCTCAATGCTGTTTAAATACCGATAAATATGAAGAGGTGGACAGGGGTGGCACCATCTTCGCACCAAGCCAGCTGAGTCACTGTAGGTTTGGAGCCGCAGCAGCTGGTGGGCACGTCTTCAGGTATGATGAGACAGGGAAAAGGTCTTGAAAATCACTGATCTTCAAGGCCTCTTCTAGGTCTAAAATCCCATAATCTTTCACATCAATAAATATCTGCTAACCCAGGCTCTCTCAAAGAAGTCAAGAAGAGCTGTCTTGCAAAATTAAGGAATGGTAGCTCCCATTAATTCAGCAGTGATCAAGGGTCATGCACTTTGGTCAATACACACGTATTTGAGTTCCTTTATGTGTGCTAAGCACGGGGAATTTGGCAGTGCCTCTGTGGTGAAGTCCCTCCCCTCAAGGATCTTAAACTTTATGGGGAAGACAGTAGGGGAAAAGTAAGTTTCAGCTGCAGTTAAACACGATGAAGAAAATAAAGTAGAATAATGTCAAAATTAATTGAGTGGCTTTTAAGACAGGGTTGGGAAAGTGCTCTCTGAGGAGGGGAGAACGGCAAAAAGAAGGCAGCCATGTGCAGGCCTGGGGGAGGGCAATCCCAGCAGCAGGACTAATCAGTGCTAAGACCCAGTGAGTGTGGCCTATCTGTTGACAAGGATGGAGGAACATGAAGACAGAGCAGGCAGCCCTGACCGGGGGGCTCGGTTGGAGTGTCATCCTGCAAACCAAAAGTTCACAGATTTGATTCCCGGTCAGGGCACATGCCTAGGTTGTGTGTTAGTTCCCTAGTCAGGTGTGTGTGAGGGGCAACCAATCGATGTTTCTCTCTCACATCGATGTTCCTCTCTTTCTCCCTCCCTTCTCCTCTCTAAAAATCAGTAAGCATGCCCTCAGATGATTTAAAAAAAAAAAAAAAAGCTGGCAGGGGCTGGATCATGTAATGTGTCATGGCTGTGGGAAGGAGTGTGGATCATGAGTGTAAACAGGAAGTCATGGGAGAGTTTGGAGCAGAGGTGTGATAGGATCTGATTTGTACCTTAAAACGTGCTACTCTGGCTGCTGGGTGTGGACTGCCAGGAAGGGGTGGCAGTGGGAGCAGGAGGACCAGTTAGGACCTTCTGTGGTGGGGCAGGTGAGAGGACATGGCCTGGACTAGGGTTGCAGTAGTGGAGGGGAGGAGAAGTGGTTGAATTCAGACTATAGTTTGGACATGGAGCTAATGGGTTGACCTACTAATGGACTGAAATGAGATCTAAGAGAGAGGATTCAGGGATGACTCCTGCTTTTTGGCCTAAGTAACTGGATAAATGGTGGTGCCGTTACTGAGGTGGAAGAGGGTTGAGAATGGATTTGAGAAGGAAATCAGTAGTTTGGCCTTGGCCTCACTAAGTCTGCGATCTGAGTATAGATGTCCAGTAGGCAGCTGGGTTCATGAATCTGGAGTTCTGGAG